GCCACTGACGCCACGTTGCCCCCTTCGGACCACCTGCCTCCACTCTTGAGCCTGGGGCTGGCCGAGCTCCTGAAGCGCACACAGAGCTTGACTTGGCCTGAGGAATCCAAGTGTCTTTCAACCCAAGGGCTCAAACCAACGTTGATCTTCAGCCTTTGAACACCTTGGTTGTGCTCCTGCGCTTAGCTTTGATGAATGTATTCCACACACACATCGTTCCCCGCTGGATTTCTGGAAAGGAAAGGTGTGAAAAGTGCCGGCGGAGCAGAAGGCGCCCCTGGGCCCCGCCCTCAGAATGCGCAGCACGGTTTTCCAGTTCTAAAGTGCGCACAATTTAAGAAGCGCCCTGGTTTCTCAGCGACAAATTCAAGGTCTATTAGACCACGGTATTAAAAATCTGGGTGGAAAAGATTGTCCAGAATATTTAGAGAAACTATCTAACATCCTTACCCGCAGTCGCCACTCCTATTTTTCAAGTTGGTGTATTTTCTTCCCTTTTTCCCCTCCAGCGTGAAACCACTGAAACTAATTTTTTTGGACATTTCAATGGTCAGTAAATCAGGTGCCTGGGAAGCAGTACCTCAGAAAAGGGTGTTTTGTTTTTGCATAACATAGCTTATAATTTCCAAAACAGCCTAATCAAATGGGTAATCTTTAATTTTAAAAATATTAAATATGGTCCGATTTTTTGGAGTTTCATCCTACCCTTTGTTTACGATCAAACCCTCCCCACCCGGTCAAAGTTTTAAGGAGCTCTTGTTTCTGCTTGGATATCACAAAGTCTAAAGGTGGTAATAAAAGGGGGCTAGAGCAGGATTCACTTACATACACGTAAGAAAAAAATGTTAGTATTTCCTTAGACATTAATATTTCCCTTGAAAAATTCTCCTTTCCAGTGGTAGAGAGTGAACATCTGGATATAACATACGGAGATATTTTAGTGAATATCTTTAGATTTTGCACCTTGATTATAAATATATCCTCCATCCTAATCTTGGCCACTGAGTAAAATCCGTGCCTGTGTGCTTTGTACAGTTGTGAATACGGGGTGTGCAAGTGTGTGGAAGTACCTGTGTGCGTCCCTGACGGTCTGTAAAAAAAAAAAAAGTATGTTACTGGGGTGGGGGTGAGGGGAACACAGGACGCGCTCCGGGTTTGATAAGATGCTCAGCGTCAGAGCGCAGAGAGGAGCTGCCAGAAGGCAGGAAGGAGGTCTGTGCCCAAGCAGCGGTGGGCACCACCACGTGCCCGGCCCGGGGCGGCGCGGGGGCTCCGGGGTTTGCCCCGGGATTCCGATGGGCGCTCTCTTGGTCGGTTAGAACCCGAGGGCTCAGCTTTTCTAGTCTGAACTTTGCCTGATGTTGGGAGAGGTCAGGCAGCGCAGGGAGGCCCCTTCCTCTTGGTTCCCGGCGCACAGAGATAAGTAGGTCATGGGGTCCCCCAGGGTGGGCGCGCATTGCTCCGGGGACTAGAGCCTCAGGTGCCCGCGCGTGGTGGCGTCCGCGCCGGCTGAGGGCCGACTCCTGGCGGGCGGCGTCCGAAGTCGCCCCGAAGATGGAAAAGACTCCCGGGGGCGCGATGTTGTGGCCGCTCTAGCGGCCCTTCGTGCGGGGGGATGGAGGGGGGAAGAGCAAGACGTTTATAGATCGGTTCTGGTTTCTTCCTGCAAGAGGACTGCGTTCCCCCGCTGCGTAGACTGTGCCTGGGGGTCAGGGGGCCACACGCGGAGGCGCCCGCGAGTGGAAAGGGCGGCCTAGACGCCCGGAGGGGTCCTGTTTGGTGTTGGTGGGTTGCGGGCGCCCCTCTCTTTCTTTTCTGGGGCTTTCTCCCTTATATTGATATAGAGGTGGGTAGGATTCTCCTTTTAGTCCCACGAAACTCATTTAAAATTTCCCATGCTATAGAGGCCAACACGAAGGATCAGAACACTTGGGAGGCACCCGAGTTCCGGTTCACGCGGCAGACTGGCGGGGGGCGCGC